ACTAGGCTTGAAGACGATCCACGCGAAGGACGACCAAAAATCGCAACAACACCAGAAATCATTAAGCAAATTCATAATATTGTTACTGAAGATCCCAGTTTGACTAAGCGTGAAATTGCTAATGCCATATCAGCAAAGAAGGTAATGACATTCGTTTTTTTGGGATCAAATGGAATTTCGTTGATTGATTATCTGCAGAAAGGTTAAACAATAAACTCTGAATATTATTGCAGCCTTTTGGATCTGCTGGATGAAAAAATTGGTGAGCAAAGGCCTGGTTTGCAGCACAAAAAAATGATTTTTCATCAAGACAATGCACCTCCTCACAAAGCTGTTTTAACAATGACAAAATACAACGAATTAAAGTACGAACCCACCAGACACCCAGCGACTACTAGCTCTTCAGAAACCTGAAACAATTTCTTCGTGAAAAGCATTTTTCGTCGAATGAAGAAGCTATAACAGCCGTAGATAAAATTATTAGAGGATCATTGGAATAAGTGTGTTGAAGTTAAGGGGAAAAATATTAAATAACTAAATATTTTCTACCAAAAACAGTATTTTTTCATTTCGAGCCCAGAAACTTTTCAACCAACCTGTATATATAAACGATCAGCGTTACGAGCTGAGTCGACTTAGCCATGTCCGTCTGTCTGTCTGTATATACGCGAACTAATTTTTCAGTTTTATATAATGAATTTCGCATACGTCCTTTTCTTCCTAAGAAGCTATTCATTTGTCGGACTAGTCGATATCTAACCACTATAACGTATAGCTACCATGCAAACTTGTCCATCATTATCAAGTTCAATTATTTGACAAAATATCTTCATGAAACTCGATAGGGGTTAGTGTTCAAAGCATCGCTCTAATCTTCGAACAAATTGTTCACTATAGATATATAGGTGCCATTTAAACTGTCCAATCAAAATCAACACAAATATTTTCAAAAAAGAGCTGAGTAGATTTTGCCATGTCTGTCCGTCCATCTGTCTGTATATACGCGAACTAGTCCCTGAGTTTTTGAGATATCGATCTAAAATTTTGCACACGTCCTTTTCTCTCCTAAAAACTGCTCATTTGTTGGAATCGCTGATATCGGACCACTTAAGCATATAGCTGCTAAACAAACTGAACAATCGGAATCAAGTGCTTGGGTGGGGAAATTTTTTATTGTATTTGTGATGGGTATTATAGCTTCGGTGCAACCGAAGTCAATGTTTTCTCTTCTTGCATTATAAATAAATCAAAACTAATGTTCATTTTAAAGTTTAAGCACTCTTTGTGAGTGGTAACTAAATTTAATTGTTATAATTTTTTTGCCGAGTCCAGTTGCAAACCGTAAAGGCACTAAACTTATTTTTATATGAGGTTATAAAAGACTCTTCAAAGTAATCCGATGTGGTGCTTTATATGCTGAAAATCATTTATATAACAATTTAAAAGCTTTAACCTGCTTAAGTAGTACATATGTAAATGTAATGCTGAAAGCCAGTTAGATTTACAGTTAAATTGCACCAGAAAGCCTTACAACTGCACAACTATTGTTGTGCTATGTATTAAATTCCCCAGAATTGATTTTTCGCCTCGTGTACTCAGTCACGTTTTATTGCAGTGACAGCGCCGGAAAAGGAAGCGGATATACATCCTGTAGCAGTGAAATGCAATTGCATATCTATGGAAATCTCAATGGCTGATGTATGAATACCACTGTCCACACAAACGCAGACATACAGACATAGATGTATATAAATCATCACCCGCGCACGCTTGCATGTGTGTGCGCGGTTGTTGTGCATATATCTACATATGTATGTATCGGTGTAAGTATTTTCATTTTTATATTGGCACGTGTAAATTGCCAGCAGCTATAAAAGCAACAGTAAAGCGATAGCAACGCAAATGACAGTAGTATGGCAGCAGCAACAAATACAGCAGCGGCCGAAGTGAAAGCTGCGTTCAGGCTGAGCTTCAGCAGGCAGCCTGAAAGTGCAGAGGAAATAAAATGCAGTCTGCATTTTCGTCAGCGTAATAAAATGACATTGGACCGAAAAAGTAATATGCGAGTGCGGGGATGGCGTTGGGCTTGGGTGCAGTCTCTTTCGTTTGCGTTATAAAATTGTGTGAGTGCCAGCCGGCTGGTACTCTTAACTCCTGTTGGCGTTTCTTCTGCACTCACGTTTTCCGTTATTCGTTCGCCTTGCATGAATGTACGCCATTCACGGCTGATAAAATGACATTGAGCTGCGAATTGTATTTGATAGGTTCCAAATTGTTTTAACGCTATAAATTTTTCATCTATTCAATTTTGTTAAAACGTATATAGGGGGAAACCTGGTGACATTTTTTTGTTAACAGCGCGGAAGTGATTGGAAAAGGAGGCATGGACTTTTGCGCGAGGAAATGGAAACTCCAAATGCACAATAATATTTAAAACCAAATGAAAGCTTTTGATAAATAATAACTTCAAACACAAACTTAAAACCATAAACAACAGCCTAACCGCAAATGAAATTCAATTCTAAACTTTGTATTGGAAAATGTACAACATCCATTATTCGATGAAATCGTGAATAAATTACAATAAAATTTGGTATCTTCTTGACTCATGTTGAAGATTAATAACTTAGACTTAATTTGATTGCTTTATTTTAGTTCGCGTCAGCTAAAATTATATCAATAATATCTTCAAATGGGATACTACATACATACTATAGCCATACATACTATAGTGATATCAACTCGACCGAAGAAGCTAAATTTAATATATATTGAGTTGATGTGGAAATGATATTCATTATAGTTATAAATATAATTTAAATTTCATTAAAATATCACATATTTTGATCAACCTAACTGGTGGAAAGATGTAAATCATTTTACGGGGTATATTCGTCGATAGAGAAAGGGACGCATTAATTTTGATATATATTCGGTACTTAGGGACTTGAACAGTTTTGGTTCGATTTGGACAAGTTTTGGTCATAAAGTGGAATACTTTAAAATCATTAACCGTTCATTTTTTATTCCAATACATTCATTGGCGCTTGATTTGTCTACTGGAAAGTGAAAGGATCAGATGGAATATAAAATTGTGTTATATGGGAAGTAGGCGTGGTTGTAGTCCGATTTCGCCCATTTTCTCAACGTAATATTGGAATGTCAATTTGGTTTGAATCAGTCGAGCAGGTCCCGAGATATGTGATTTCACCTTAAACTGGGCGGTTTCACGCCCATCGTCCAATTTCGACTCCGGCTCCTATAAAGTCATCTTATACCATCCCAGAGATACAATTTAATGCCTTTGGCGTGTTTAGTGATTGATTTATTGCGCCTTAAGTAGTTTTTAAGAGAGCCGTTATATGAGGAGTGGGCAGTGTCAATAGGGGTGCATAAAGGATTTGCCCGGGGCGAATTTTGTGATTTTAGCTTGAATGGGAGATATGTACATTAAACCCATTACAGTGCGGGGCCAAGCCAATTTTTTCAAACTTTTTGGCCCACAGGTGCTCCTTGCTGTTGCAATCTGTTGTGCCAAATTACAGTTGTATATCATCATTTGAAACTCAAAGCTCAAGTTATTCGCTGTAGCGATTAGGCCAGTTTAGAAATTTTACTAAATGGACACACTTTTTTGGCTTAAAGTAGTAATAGCTTAGGGTCCTCAAACATTATTTAATTAGCAAAACAGTAACAACGTTAGGTTGCGTGACCTATCAGCTGTTCTGTCGTAGCGTTTGCACCCCTCATTTTTTCTCGTAAATTTAAAGGAGAAAATTCTGAAGATTGGCCCAGTACGTCTCACAATTTTTATATATTTGCAACATCTTTCACAGAGTATGTATAACAGTTTTTTTGGCATTCACAGGAGATTGACATTACCCCGTAAACTACGTACGAGTTTTTTGTTAGAATTGTAATTTTTTTGTTAACAAATTAGTCCTAATTTTTTCCATTCCACTGCTTTTCGAAAACTTGATGCAAAGTTAAAAACATACGTTCTTTACTAAGAAGTTTTATGTGGATGAGGTTGCCATATTTGAATTAGTTTCAGAAAACGGTAATTCCGACGATTGGCCAAGCAGTCGTGATTTTGTACTAAAATGTCAAGATAATTTTTTTGTTTATTTAATTTTTTTTTTATATTATAAATTTTTTTTACGTTTCAATAATATTATGAGTCCACTTAAAATATTCTGTTTATTACATTCGTCGACAAAGTATGGTTTCGACAAGCACATACTCACACCCTATGCTCGCGCGCGAATTTCGCTTCTCGGCTTTCACATGTACACAGCACGTCGTTCTGCTATCGTTGATCCAAACTCCATTTGGTCAGACTCCATTCAATAAGAAAGCGTATTCAAATCGACGCTACAGTACGTTTCACAATAAATGGGAAATCGATTTTTACACTCTCGCAACATGTTGCTGCAGAGTACTATTATAGTGTCGTTTACCTGACGGTTGTTTGTAACACCTAAAACTAATCGCGATAGATATGTAGTTATATATAAACACCGTCCGTTAAATATAAGATGAAACTTGGAACACCTGTTGCTTGGCACCATAAGAAGTTCGTTTTTGTAGACGGGCGTAAGCGAACCACTGTCACGTCTACAAATTATAGTTAATTGAAAACCTATAAAACGCCATAACAAAGCCAAAAATTAAGACAGTTGGTACAGTGATTTCAATTATGTAATGTACATATCTCACAAACCATTGCAGCTATAATAATCAATTTCGCTCAGGACAAATCTTTCAGGCTTCGCCTCCAAAGTGAGATCCTGTACCTCAGGTACTACCCAACCAATTTCAACCAAATTTCGTGTATAATATTATCTACATAGATATTCCTATTTTATAATAGTAATCTTAATTAAGGCCACAAACTAGGTATTGGGCGATGAAAAAAAAATTGTATTTTTTGCAGATGTTTTACAAAAAAAATGCAAATTTAGGTAAAAATTTGTGACGTTTTTTTTAAGTAATACAACTTTTTAGTAGAAATAAAATGTATATTTTTACTACTTAAGTTTTAAGTAAATATTTTTGAGTATTTTTGTAACTTATAAAATGTAAAAGGATAACAAATTATTGAAAAATTAATTTTCATTTTTCACAAAAATAATTTCTTAAAACATAATATCACTAACAATTCACATTGCATGTATAATATCCAATTGAGAAATATGTACCATATATTATGATGTAAAATACAGTGAAAAGTATTTCGGTAACAGAAATTTTATATTTACAAAAATATAAAAAATAATACATCAAATACTTTGTTTTTACTTTTTATTCCAATTTTGACAATTTATTTAAGTTATTTGAGATTATAAAAAATATAAAATTTTGAAATATTTTTTCCAGGGGTTTAGCTGCAGCTAGGTAGTGTGAAAAAATTATTATAATTATGTTGCTTTGAAAATAAATATACTTCAACATTATTTGTTCATATTTTTGCATATTACCCTTTGATAGAAATTGTTGGGATAGAAAATCTGTTATGGATAACAAATATTATTTTGGTTAAAAATGTTGCATAAGCAGCGTTTTTCCTCATGACTTCACCTACAATTTGAAGCTAAGCTCATAAAAGTGCTCTTAAATTAACTGATAAAAGATTTTAGATATTAATTATTTATTGTTCTTTGTTTAACAAAAATATTTTGATACAATACTATATTAATGAATTATAATACAATTTTAATCTGCACTTTTTTCTGCTAAAGTGTAATAAAAATGGTTTATTTTTTATTTCTACAAATTGACTTTATGATATTATATTTTATCTGTAATAATAATAATAATGCTTTGTTTTAAATCTGTGCTATTAATCCTAAGTTGAGTTAGTTAAATAACAAGTTTATCGATCGATACAATTTCAATTAACTTTTGTTAGCTTTAAATCGATTTGAAACTAATATTTTCATTTTGACAAATTTGAGAAAAAATGTGTATTTCATTAAGAAAATTTGGCTAAGATAAAGTTACGAAATGTAATCTAAATAATTGACCAAGTAATTGAAATAAACAAAACTAAATTCTAGAGTTATCAAATAGTTAATAATAAATATTTATATACACTGTAATTTGTTTGCACGGACTTGTTGAAATCTTCAATTCCCCAGATTATGGAGACATCCTCCGTTTCCTTAATTCACTTCGGATGGTGCACTTAGAATTCCGTGTGGAAACTATTTGCCGTGTCTATCATTTTTGAGGTGAGGAAAATCTCTGCATTCTCAGTTAACTGAAGGAGAAAACGATTTTCATGAGCAAAATTTATTATTTTTTATTAAATATTTTTTTAAATACATCGTAAGTGGTTTTCACTTTATTTTTCACCTCTCCACTTACCTCATTCAACGTCAATCGTCCATCCTTGTTCTCATCACATAAACTGAATAGTGTCGCTGCCTCTTGCAGCGCATAACGTGGCGTCTTCGGATTGACATAATTCAATAATTCCTCCCTATCCGCCCTGTCATCGTTATTCTTATCAATAATTCGCTTGAATTCCGCCCTTCTCTCCACAACTGTCTGCGAGATAAGGGACTTTCTGCGTAAGTCTTCATCATCATCCACATTTACCTCGGAGAACTCATCGATCGTCAACTGATCATCGCCATCCTGATCAAATTGTCGCAGCAAATCGTCAACTAATTCGAGTAAATTAGATATACTCGATTCGGGATGTCGAAATGAAAGATACTCATCGATCGTGAGACTAAAGAGATCGGTGCGCGCTGCTTCCGACCATCGTGCCTTGTCGCGCATCATATCTTCGCGCGCTTTTCTATTCAATGCTGTGTGTTTTATCTCATTGTGTTCATCAATGTCCGCATCAGACATGCCGTGCTCTTTAAGAAAGAAACTATGATATTCTTCCCATGTGATTAAGCCATCGGCAGGAGATTTGTCCACACGCTGGAATTCGTGCGGATTATTCTGTATCGCCTCCTCAATATGATCCAAGATCTTCTGATTTACGTAAACACCAAGTTCCTGAATTGTTAACTCAGAGTTACCATCTCGATCCGCTCTAAGAGAGAAAATGGAGTGGGAGAGTAAAGAATTAAAATGAAAAGTACCAAAAGTTATTTCGTTAAGTATATTTTTTGTCTATAACCTAGATTAGGATGTGCTATTCCACGATAGATACACATATACTGAGTGGTTTGATATGATACACCTAGAGTACACTGATATTAAATATTTCACCCTATAATTCTACATATACTTGTAGTATCGGTTGTGTTACTTTCGCAATCGGTTACTGAACATAACTTAAGCAAATGCAGAGATATCTTCGAGAACATGAGAATCGGCGTCACTTCCAAAACATTCATTGAGCAATCATGTCGATTAGGAACAAATGAGGGCAGCGAAATATTGAAGAACTACTTTAACCGTTGATTATTAAGGAGTTAAAGATTATGGAGCTCGAAAATATTCACTTCTTACTAATTTTACAATCTCATGTGTGTATATTGGACCAATTCTTGATAAATCCAAAAAAGAGACAATAAAATGTATATTTGGCTGCTATTGTATATAAACTGAACGATCAAATTGAAGTTCTTGTAAGGAAAACTTTTTTATTTGTGAAGGGAAGGGTATTCTATCATCGATGAAACCGAAGTTATCGTTTTTTCTTCTTTTTAGATACATTCGACAAAAAATACTTTATAAATAAAATATAAAATTTTATATTATCAATGTTAAAACATTTTAGCATTTCCGTTTTTTAAGATTTTTTTTTAATCAATTAACGTAAAGTACCGTTTAAAACTTTTTACTTAAGCCACTGAAAATAGTTAAAGCCCTGCTATGCTGGCTATCGCCGGAAAATTTTACTCAACTGAAACTATTTCGAAACTATTTTTAAACGTACGTACAAACACAAAAAGACATGTATAGGAGAATATACCAGCATACAAACATTTTTGTAAGTATAAATATTTTAAGATTATCACAACTTTTCGGTAAACACGTTATTTGCTTCACACAAAATTCGTAATAACCCAGTAGAGTTTCGAAGTATCGACTGATTAATTCAGGAGCGTTATTTTGAATAAATAAATAATTTCATATTCTGTCAAAAAGTTTATTGAACTTAATTGGTTTTTAGACCACAGATCACATTTTATTTATTTGCCATATTTTGGATTAGGGAAAAAAGTTAGATACCCATAATTTATTTAGCAAAATTTGCTGCGAATATTAGTTTATTTGGAATCCACACAAAACTCATTAGAAAGTGTACCTTTTTATATTTCAAATGAATTTTCACTCGAGAAGAATTTAATATAATATTAGAGAGTATAAGTTGTGCAGGAGTAGAAGTAGAGTAGTTAACTTTGGCGATTGGATAATGAAAGAAGGTGAAGGTCAACGCTAACCGAATCGAACCAAATTCCAGCGTCGGACGAAGAATTACAATACTTCCGTCAATAAATGAAACTAAAGTAGTAACTGATGAGACAAGTTCTGCTACCTTGGCTAAAAAACTTCTCACTGGTGGATAAAACAGGTCTTAGGGAGTTCGAGAGCAAGATTCTGCAGGAGATAAGAGAGGTTTTTGTTAAGTTTTTACACAGTTCAGAGGAAAGCATGAAAGTCTAACGGGTGTACTGATTTAACTTTTCTCTAAATTTAAAATTGCTGAATACTATGCTCGCTCAGAAGCCTTAACGTGTCCAAAGAGCGGCTCTCATTGGCATCTGCGGTGCACTGCGAACTACACTCACAAAAGCCCTTAGTGCGATTCTACACATAGCACCTGTGGATATTGCCGGCAGGTGCATTGCTGCTAAGGTCGCTCTGAGTTGTCTGTCTGTCTTCACCTCCTTTAATTGCTTGCTTCAAAACTTCGATCACTCCGTCACAGAGGCTACTCCTTTCGACTGTTTCTCCACTTAAATACCTACAAGGTATAAGTGGACGGAGGAAGTCGTTGAAGAAGTGGCGTAGTGAGCTTTTTTCACGGATGAGTCGAAGCTAGGAGAGAAAGTTGGATAAATGGTCTTCTGTAAGGCGCTCTCCATCAAGCTTAGCTTGATTCTATCGGACCACTGTAGTACCTTTCAGGAAAAAGGGGCTGCTATTAAAGTAGAAGTAGACTTACTGCTACGAAGTGCAGCTTCTTTTAGGAGATGAGAAAGAGCAATAAAATTTATATTATTCAAAATTGAATTATATTGCCAGCAAATAACATCAGTCATTGCTCGTATGTGAACCGAATGGGGTATATTTTTATTAACCGCGTTGAGATGTCGCTATTCAGTTTCCGACTGGGTATTTATTGATATGTATGTATGTATATATGCTCAAAAAGTAATGAATGTATATTTAAATTCTGCTTTTTTAAGTTATCCAGAAATCTTGAAATTGTTGTAGCTCTGCATTCGCATTCCGAAACCCTTAGTGTCGGTGGGAGAGGGTCGCCGCTAAAATCTGGCGCTTAAAAGTTTTAAATGCCGCAATGCAGAGCAGATTTTAGCAAAGATATCTAAGTAAAAGTTATAGCACAGCATAGATACAACAAACAAACGTTCAAATATTTATGAACTTACGTTTATGTACTTGTAGTTTCATAAACCACTTAATTTAGATAATTGTTGTCAAATTTTCTAGACACATTAGCAATAAATTGGCGTATATTTTTGGTATTATATCGGATGAGTTTACATTTGAAATTTGTGAATAACAGTATTTTCACAAATTTGTGTTAAATTAATTAAATTGTAATTAGTTCTTGAACTTATTCAAATTTAATACAAGAGTAGTTATCCATAAAATTTTTAAAGTTAGCTGTCTTAAAAGAGGATTTATTTAAACTCATTTTTTTAAACAAGTTTAGTTCTATTTTCGAAGACCACTAATATTATCTACAATCACGTTTTAATCAAAAGTCATGACCGTGCATCCTACTGACCTCCTTATACTATTCCACACGTAACGGGGTATCTTGACAGGAAACAGATGATATCTTTGTAGATTGCTAGCTGGTTGGCAACTTTCGTTTTGGTGGTTTAATAACGCAGTTCTTATTTCTAAACTAGTAAGGAGGGACTAAGTTCGGGTTTAACCGAACATTTTGTACTCTTGCAACTAGCAGGATCAAATCCGAGGAAACACCTTCAGGTGTTGGCAAACTTCATATTGTGACGAACACAGATGATAGAAAAAAATCGAATCGACGATAAATTGCCAGAAGCAACTAGTTAGCATACTCTTAGTTGCCAGAATGCTCTAGAAGCGATGTTTTGTTAAAGATTTTCTATATAAGGGCTGCCGGATTGTGTAGCTAACACAGTTCTAGTTAGAGTGTTGTCGTGTTAAGAGCAATTGAGACATAAGTTAAAAGTTGTAAGCTCGAATAACGAGCAATAAGTGTTAAGTTTGAAGAAGTAGAATTGCGATTAAATTTGATATCTTATTAAGTTATATTATAGGTCATGGACAGACTTCGATACATATTATTAATAGAAACTCAGAGGGCATGAGTTTCATTAAGGTACCTCCCATACCCATATAAGGGGTAAAGTCAACCGGATGTTTGAAATTCTTGATATTAGTTTAATGGGGGCTAGTGCAAGTTTTCACCCGATTTAATACATTTTAGGCACAGGGATGCGCCGTTAGGAGAAAAACAAGCTCACTCAATTTAATTAAGATAACTCCCATATTGGCCGATATATGGGGTATAAAGTCAGCCGGAAGTTCGAAAATCTCTCCATTAGCTATATGGGGGCTAAGGGAAATATTGACTCGATTCAACCAATTTTTGACATGCATACACAGTATTATAAGGAAATGATTCTCTCCTAATATTAATAACATTTCGCAGACAATGATCGGACTATCTGGGACTTGAATAGTTATGGTTATTATTAGACCTGAGGTCGCATACTATAAAGGCAATAGTCGTGAAAAGTTTTATACCGATATATTATTTGGTGCTTGATTTGTATACTGAAAATTGAAAATATCAGATGCAATTTTAAGTTGCGTTATATGGGAGGTAGGCGTGGTTGTAATCCGAATTCGCCGATTTACGAACTCCTTATCACTTTTTTGACAAGGAATACGTGTACCGAGTTTTTATAAGATATCTTAATTTTTACTCAAGGTTTGGTTGCAAAGACGGACAGACGAACGGGCGGAGGGATTTCAACTTGCCTCATCATCCTGATCATTTATATATACATATATAACTCCATATCTATCTCGATTATTTTTAGGTGACACAAACAACCGTTACGTGAATAGTAGCAACATGCTGCAAGAGTATAAAAATGTAGCGAAAAGGTTCAACTTCATTGTTCCACAAAATAGTAAATGGAAATTCGGTTACTTATTAAGGTTAGGTTACATATTAACTTATTTTGAAGGTCATAGACTCACTTAGTTTTGTGACTATATTTTACTGATGCCTAATACTATGTTTGATTGTTTCCTAATATAAACCCAATATATTAAATTTAGCTTCCCGATGGAGTTTACATCATATATTTATTATACGTAAGTAGATTGGATCACATTATGTACATATCTTTTGAGCTATTTACAAGTATGTCGACGTGAGACATATTCATGGTATTACAGCTGCGATGCAGTCAAAATTAAAATTTTTTTTGTTTTTATAATTTTTAAAAATTGAGAAATTACTGAAAAATAGATCTGCTTTTAAGTAGTCGCCCGCTTGAGATAAATTCTGCTTTCAGTTTCTAATCTTCCTACCATAATGTTATTGAACTGATTGAGAATCTAGCCGCTTTATGTTTTGGATTACCAGAAGAATGGAAATGGTGTCAAGATGGGGATGCTCTTTTTTCCACCCTCTATTTAAACAATCCAATAGATTGTATTCTATCATAGAATACCCCTTAAAAATAGATTATTGCAAACTGTTATTCAGCCATTAACTGCAAGCTTTTGACTATTCACTTGTAAGCACATAAATGTATTTCGGCGCGGATTAAAATATGTTTGTGCGCTTTTAAGGTCATTCGGTGATGCATAAAAATTCAGTGCGACACAGCCGCTCGAGGCATCGGCGCTTTGCGCAAAAAAAAAAACCCAAATATATGCCTTTCATGCACATTTCCTGCTGCTCGTCTTTATTATTAACATTTTTAATATATCCTTTGTATAGTCGTGTTGCAGTTTACCTACTTGCGGCTTTTGTGGAACAAATTAAATTTTAATTTCTTTTAGCATTTAGCGTTTGCACGTCAGCGGCATGGAAATTCGAATCAACGTGCTGCGCATGCTGTTCACTCGGCGCCGTGTGGTGTGAATGGCGAGTAAGTAGAAAATGTGAAATGCAAAAAAAATAATGGGAATGCTAAAAATGTGGCCGCGTCGCGTAAATAATATCTTTATACATACAATATGTACCATATATGCACACTACACGTCACTACGTTAGCACACCTTTATCAGCCAAAAACAATTGCTTCTGTTTTTTCTTATCTTTGTATGAACAATCATTGGTAAAGAAAACATGCCATCACCTTATATGGTTTTTGCTATATTCTGTTCTTTTTAGCCGAAAACTTTGCTTTATTTTTGCGTCATCAGGTTAGCACATGCAATTTGATTTGCATTTATCTTTGGAGTTTGAATACGTATTAAAACTAAATTTTGGTATTGCTTAAGTGCTTTATTTGCTTCCGAAGGCAATAATCGAAGCTTAAGAAGAGTTTCAGCTTTCAATAATTGAAATATCAAAAAAGTTGGCAGAACTCGAAAAGTTATATGAAATTGTTTGCGTAATAAATTGGTGTACGGTCGAAATAATAAAGGCCGTAACAATAAAGTGATTACCGCTGTTAACAAGAGAGCAATTTTGAGTAAAGCATTTAATACTCATTAATCCACCGCCAAGATTCAGGAAAATGCTGGTGTTAATTTGAGCTTATCTACTATTTAAGGGATGCTAACGAATGTTCCATATTTGAAACTATTAAAGCTAACAAAAAAACCACCACTTACGGTTCCCTGAAAAGATACACGATAGCATTTTGCACCGGAGCACAAGACCTTAAGGTCTGATTGGCGCTAGTCGTTTTTTTAGACGAAAATGAAACTAATTTGGAAGGACCAATGGGCCGGTATGATGGTGTGAGGAACCATCTTCTAATATGGCACGTGCGAGGTGCAATTTTTCAAAACTAATATGAATACAAATGAATTAATTGAAGATATTAAAATTGTTTGGCCCTTAATTTACCTAAACTATATTGAAAAATTGTGTTAATCACTACCCAATTGGATCTTTGTGGTCATTCCTAACAAAGTACGATCGACTCATTATTAAAATATAATGCAAATGTTTAAATTAGTTAATACATAAGTTTAAAAATAAGTTCTCGGCGAAAAATTTTAAAAGTACTGAAAAATTAATATATACTAACCTGATGACCTAATTTTAATTCTTAATTTTTCTGTTTTCGGTAAAAAATTAGTAAACAATATAGAGGAAAAGGTAAAACAAAAATTGCTGTTTTAGTTAATAGAAAATTATTGCGTTAATAATTGCTAATAATTTTAGAATTGTAGCTTCTTTAGTTTTGATAAAAAATTACCAAAACTGTTTAAACCCGAGAGGTGCTAATTTGATGAAGCGCAGTGTATATGGATTTGATAAGTGGGATTGCGGGCACTCATACGCCGTGTACGCCGAAATTGCGGATTAAAATATCACACAAACGCACTTACAGCTTTCACACAATTTTGTGAAGCGTCCATATGTTTATATGTCAGAATGTGTATATGTCAGAATGTGCTTGCACTTCCTTGCATAATCACATTTCGCCTATGTATGTGCATGTGTGTGTGTGATGTTGAGTACAAAAACGACATAATAATTATGCGCTCACACCCGCAGTGCAAAGTCGGTGCACTACATCGCCCCCGCTGTTTACGTAACTGACTATATTGCCAGTTGAATGGCAGTTTGCATCTATGAGTCTTTGTGTCTGTGGCTGCCCGCGTGTGTATGTGTGTAGAAAACAAAATCACTATGGGAGTTCGTGTGGCGTGTTGTTGTGTGCAACCGCGGAATGTAATAGGAGAAAAAAACACGCGACTGACGGGAGTGCTAACACATAACACACACTCTCGCAGATGTGCGAGGGAATTTGCGTTCATCGATTTCAACTCATCCTCAGCGATTTTTAACCGTGAACAGAAATGCTTCTCAATTCTTTTTTGCCGCTAATTCCCCAATGTAGTTCTGTTGGTTTTTGTGCAGCTTGGTATTTGAGGAAGCGATTAAAAAGCGAAATGCGATGACTGAGTGCTGAATCCACATATTCGTGTGGAGTTAAACCTTTTTAATATCACAGAGATGAATAGTAGTATTCATTTCGAAATCCATTAATCTAAAGCAATAGACTGCGGAGAAGATTAAATATTTATTTAAATGAAGAAATATGTACTAAATATAATATGCATGAAATTTGACCAGGACTTTTAATATTTACGAATTAGAAAACTAAAGAAAGTTTCAACGCGCTTAGGAAATTACGAAATTTAGCAAAGTCTCTTGTTATGTGAGGGAGCAAATATAGCGGGTCTATCACCAAATACCTTTTTTGTCATCTTCAAAATTTTCATCGCAGAGCCTAACCAGAAGCTCAGTGTTCGTAGTAGGGAACAAGCTTGATACTTTTAAAACTGGAGTAACTACAAATCCACTTACACTGTTCCGCGAGAGTGTTGATACTCTTAGTATTATTGGTTTGTGCTGTAAAAAATTTATAGTACACCTTATGTATTCTTCTTCTTCCCGATTTTGGAGATCTTTTCAAGCAAACCGAAAAGCTTTGCAAGTAGTTTTGGCATCCATTGAAAAATAATATGCTAAGCTGCTAATGGCATATCCACTTAGGTTTCACACCGCAACCTGTAGAATAGCGTTTCGTGAGTATTTCAAGGGAGCCAACGGTAGTAGTTTTTCACGACCCATCCTCCACCCTACTGAATGTCCTTTTATACTGTTCATTGGTTAATATTTTTAAAGTCCGATGGAATGCATTCTTGGCTACTATCTTATACTATTTCCTCATACATTTATAATACTCCAAATTGATTGCTTACAGACAAAATACAGCGTATGTTTGTACCCTGAACAGGGTATATGAAGTTTGGCTCGAAGACTACAACACCCAGAAGAAGACATTTTAGAACCAAAAAAAAATATATATAAATGATCAGAATGGTGAGCTGAGTCGATTTAGGCACTGGATTTTGGCACTCGTTCTTTCTTTCCCAAGCAGCTGTTCCTTTGTCGGATCCGTCTGTCATGTGTAAATCGACTCAGTTCGCCACGCAAATCATATATCAGTTTTTTTGAGCGCGCGTCAAAGATGAACACTAGCAAAGAGGTATATTTTACAGTATTTTTCGATATTTTAGATTTTTATATATGCTTTATAAGGTCTCCGACGTTTCCTTCTGGGTGTTACAAACTTGTTGGCAAGCTTAACATACACAGTTCAGAATTTTTTTGTATCATAGGAAGTTTCAGGTTACAAGAATACAAATACCATGTTTTAACAGTTGACTCAAAGTCTCTTCTAGCCAGAAAAGACGAAAGTTTTAAACAATCATTTTATTGGTAAAAGTACAAACTTTTACTGTCTCTAATTACAATTCCTAGTATGTGGTAATATGATGATGATGAAGTATAACTTAACTTTTGTACTTTTTTTCAAAGAACTCCTCTCATATGGAAGATCTAAATAAAAGTCCTTATCACCTGCTTATAGTCATCTGTTTAATTCTCATATTGCTCATCCAAATATTTTAATGTGGTGTAAGAGCTTTTGTCTACCCTCTTGCGGAATGGCAGCCTTATCCAAACTTAACCTAATGAAAGAAAATTCGAAAATTTTTAGGCCATAGCCATAGAAACCACTCCAGTTGCCCTATTTCACATTGCCATTAAAAAACTCATTGTGCTTGCTTAAAACCACCAAAAGTCTGCACAGCAATTTTTACGGATTTAGTAATTTCTCCCTCATACTAATGAAGGCATTTAGTAACCATTAATTATTTTTTCTCCCACACTGCCGACCGTCTCACTGGGGATTGGAAAGCAAATAAAAACAAAGGAGGAAAAGAAGAAATACTGCGCGCTGAATGCCTCGCCTTTGTATTAATACTTCGTGCACACTTATCTATGTACATAGATATGCTTAAGGATATGGATCCCCACAAGGAGGTACTTACCGTTTGAATGCTTTCTCGAGAATTTGTTTCTCGTTGACGGAGCTTGCTGCTAAAATAACAGTTTCCGGTTCGCTGGGCTTACCGCCTTGCCGTGCGCCATCATTCACATTCACACCACCGCCGGCCGCGCTGTTACCCACAGCGGCAGCAAAACGCGCCGCCCCACTCTTCTCACCGCCTTTGCGCTTCGTCAGCTCATCACCAGCACCACTCGTGCGCTGCTGGGCATTTTGTTGTTGAAATGTTGTGGCCAACACAGGTTCCGGCGGTGTTTTCAGCACATTATTTCCGTTCGCTGCGCTCGACTGCTCGCGCAACGCCGCCGAAACCGCCACCTTCTCGGCCACACTCTTTTGTCCGCTTCGCTGTAGCGCTTCTTTTGTTAGTCTACTTTGTTTGTGCATTGCTGCTTTCGCTTCTATTGGATAGTTGTTTCGGTATTCCAGCATTTGTTGTGGTAGCGCGCCTGCCTGTTGTGCCGTTCCGCCATCGTCGCTAGCCGCTCGCGATTTTAGCGTGTGCTGCAATTTGTATGTGGTGCTGTGCAGTATCAGCCCAATGAAGAACATGTAGAAGAGTATGGCACAAATGGTGGACCAGCGTAGCCAGCGGAAAGTCTTGCTGAGTTTGCTGACAAGTGGTGACATGGTCAATGTGCTATGGTTTTTACTGCTATTGTTGTTGTGTTTGTTGGAAGTGGCTGACCGCACGGTTTGCTCGCTGCTTAGCGATTGATATGGAACGTTGCTGCGGTGGTGATACGGTAGTTGTTTTTGTTTTTGCTGCAGCTGTTGCAACAGTTTGTAGTACTTCACTTGATTTGTTTACGAAATTTTTACAATTTTTAATTATTTTTCTTGTTTTTGCTCTTTCTGCGCATTCCTTGTTGTAAACGCTTGCGAGCCTAGCCGCAGCAGGACACTGCTGGAGCCTTTTTAATTGTTATTGTATATAGTTTGTTGTGTTTTTATATACAGCTCCTTTGGCATTATTTCATTGCTGTTGTTGTTGTTGTTAGCCAACGCTTTTGCAAAGTTAGTGACAAAGCTGTCACTGTCACTGTCACTCTCACTCTCACTGTGTCACTCTAAATGTTTTGCAGTCGTTTCCAATATCGGCGCACTTCTTATATTTTGTATGTTTTTGTTGTTGCGCTGTGCTTTTTTTTGTGTGAACCCTAAAAAAGATGTTGCTTTGTGAAAAATGTGATTTATGGCGGAAAGGAAATCACAAAAGCCACAGCAATCACTTTAACAAAAAATACAGAAAATCATAAAATGTTCTCTTTCGAGTCTGCCGTACGAGTTGCTGTTGTTGTTTGTGCCACAGCAGTTTGTATGTATTCCGGTTTTTTTAGTTATTTGACCGCCACTTGTTACAGCATTTGTGAATTTTTTCGACAATTTTCTTTTTCACTATTGTTGTTGATGTTTTTGTTTTTGTAATACAGTATTCTTTTACTTTAGAATTTATTTCTTTTACTTTTTACTATATACCAGTTTAGGGTACAAAAAATCAAAGGCCCCAGTGTATAATTTTATCCCCATATTTAATGTGTTATTTTGCTTATTTACTGGAACCTGAACTTATTTTTACGATCTAGAGTCTCAATGAAATAGTTTATCAAACTTTGGTTGGTTGGTTGAAAAAGGAGGCGTCAGAGCGCTAGACCGCAGGCGGCCGCATTTTTATGGTAACTAATATTACTTTCTGAGCCGATAACTGTTTAATATTTATCGACTCGCAAAATAAATAAAAATATAGTAGCTTTGTTCATACAAAAGTTGTTGTAACTCCTAAAAATAATCGTTATAAATATAGAGTTTTATGGTATATACTAAAACAATTATGGTGTCGATGCGAACGGATCTCTGGATGTCTATCTGTACATTCGTCCATCCGTTTAACTACGCAAGCGACGACTTGCTTAAAAGATGAGAAATATTGATGCAGCTCATCCTGCACAAATGCGATTCGTTGCTACTGGTCGAAAAATGATCGCATTTAAAAATATTTGCTAAAATATAGTCATCATTAAGCTATTAAACTTGCGTTTCTTCTTTCAAAAGAATCTTTGAAGTCGAATCTTAAGCTATTTTCCTTCACAAATATATCTCAAGAATCAATGAAAATATCGATACACAACTTAATGTCGAAATCAGATGTTACTTGAATCACTAAAGCATTTGGGAATATTATATCAAATGTGACTCAAATTAGTTTTTTTATCTGAAATAAATGAAGATAAAACTTGCTGGTGCCGTAAGACATAAAATAAAGTTTATAACTCGACCATCGTCGCACTGTGTCACTTCATGAACCGTTCGGAAAGCGTTTCATATTTATTATTGCGAAACTGTTTATGTACTGCGCTAATAGCTGCACTTAAAGCACTCTTGCTTTTACAATTGTTGCACACACTCACACACACATATAAACACATGTATAACAAAACACTTTGGTTTTTGTTATTGTTGTTGCTTGTATCACATTTAAGTGTGCGCCATTGAAATGTTTTAACAGCCTTTCTCGCATCCCACAAGCACTTCGCACAACAAATCCTCTCCAAACACATTTATATGCATGTGTTCCTTCTGTGCCAGCTCCTGCCGCTGTGTAGAATGCCGAACAACTGGCGCGCTTTATTATTTATTTATGTTGTTCTTAGCATTTAAATATACACACATCAACAACCCTTGACAGCTGGTCCAGCAAAAACTGAAGTCATAATTCACTGTTAATGCCTTAAAACACACAAAACTAAATGCGGTAAAAATGTTTTATAATTGTGTCTAGTGGATTGTCGTGCTTGTTGTCATTGTACTATATTATACACTCGCTCACTCACTGTTCCACTACGCTCGACTGACGGCTGACGAATTCAAGTTGCGCCGCGACATTTGCACGCGCCCGCACGCCAACTCGCTCGATGACTTACTGACTGACTTCTGTGTGTGTGTGCGCTATGCATGATTTTGTGGCCTCAATGGCGCCCGAGATTGTTGCTGCCTCCGCCGCTGCTGCTATTCAATCGTTTGTGGTTGTTGCAGCCGGTTTAACTCATGCTCTTTCGCTGTTGCTGGCGTTGCCTTATCGCTTGTATAACTCTTTGATTTTCTTTTGGCTTCTTGTTTGCCTCTTGCTGGTTGCGGCTCGCGAGTTGTGTGTGGTGCCCGTGTATGTGTTGCTGTTGTTTACAACAAATAACATTTAGCCGCCTCTGCTGCCGCCTCGCCTTAGCATTTACACATATAATATTTCTTTTAATTCATTTTTTTTATGCGTGTCTTTCGTAGTTGTTGTTATTGTTTTTCTTGTATTAACTTGACGATTGCTTACCGCCACTATTGTTGTGCTTACCAGCGCTTTGTCTTAGCTGTTTTCATGTCTTTTTTCCACTCGAAGTTCTCCAGTCGCTTGGTAAACCAGTTTTTTGTCACTGCTCCCCACTCTGATTGCGCCATAAAAAGTAAATCAACGAAACCCGCAGAGCAGGCACTTGAGTCCACCTTAACGTTCACTTTTAACTCGCGCTCTGCAAGTTGCCCCTGTCACACCGCTCACTTATGTACCACGGCCCACCGCCGCGTGAATGTTCATGCTTACTATTTATGCGCTTGCAATTTTGTTGTTCTCTTTTTTCTGTGAATTTTTTCGTTGCTTTTGACTTAGCTTGGCCTGGCTAAAAAATAGGTTTGAGTCTAAATTTATTTTGGTATTTCAGGTCTTTAAATTTTTTTTGCTCGGATTAGACGTTTGCTTTCGGTCGCTAGTTTAGTCAGCTTTAGTTTTTTCTGCACCTTTCTTTTTTCGTTGGATTTTTATTTGTGTTATGCACTTTTTCTGTTGTTGTTGTTGCGTTATTCGCTAGTTTATTTTAGTTCATGTATGTTTTGTTATTGCTTTGTTGAATTGAATAAATTACTTGTTTTACAACTGGTTTAAATTTTGGCTTCAGCTCTTACAGCGTGACAAACTGAAAATATCAGTGAATAAAAGGTGTTTTGCTGGTGTTTTTTGATACTATGGTTCATATATATGAGAAAGTTAAAGCGTGTGGAATATATATTGCAAGACATTAGAACATATATTCCAAGAATGAAACATTTTAATTGGGCAATGTAGTCTGCTTTTACTAGAAAGTTTCTAAAGGAGTGTCATACGCTCCTTGACTAGTTTTGAACACATCGTCAGCGAGCCAATCGGCCATCGTAGTGAATGCATACCTTTCTGAATGAAGCAGCACTTGGGAGCAGTACATTTACTGCTACCTTGATCGCAGTCACCTCCGATTGAAATGTGATATGGTAGCCTAAAAAGGGTGTTAAGGGAGAGCTCCCGACAAAAGACTTCCCTGTGAGCAGAGAAGGAGCTGCCAGGAGAAGGTTCGGTGATGCAGTGATCTAGATTGTAGGGACAAATAGGTATGAATACAATAAAATTCGTATATATGTACCCCATAATACTCTTAGATTTCCAAGTATTCGTAGATATATGGAGAGTATTTTTTCGGTCGTTAGGTTTCTTCTTACAAATTCAAAGTATAATTGCTGTATGGAAGATATTAATGCTATGGTCGCAGGTAGAATTTAACGCTTAATTCCTTTTCAAAGAAATTAATCCTTTGCACCTTTGCTCTTTAAAAGTATTCAATTTAACCTAATAGGCTAATACGGTTTGTTTTTGTAGCACCCATGTACTTTAAATTTATACGTGGAAACCTATTACTTTTTTACATTTTCCCAAGTACGAGTTATTGAAAAATAACATTTTTAAATATTTCTTTGGGAACTCACAAATTAAACCAAAATATTATAGATTATAATTATATGACAATTTTGAAAGAAACATTCATATTCATATATTTACACACAAAACACCAATGACATCAGTAAAACATATAGCAATGTGCCGCTGCTTTGACAGGATTTAATCGTGATTGAAATTAAACCGTGTCCAATAGTGCGACCAATAATCACAGTGACCACTTGCCATTAAGTTGGTCCAATTTATTTATACCCAACTCGTGTATGCAAATTAGAGGGATAAATGTTGCAGCGCCCTATATTTACAACGCAACAAATATGTGCCCTATCTGTCGGTTCTCCTTGTAATCCCTTTCCGCATTAAAACCAAGCCTTCACTTTAACCTACCGCTGCGCCATATCATTATGCGGTATTTGCTTTTTCCGCATGTCATTAAGTGTGTTTGTTGTTGGTTGCACACATTTGCTAACTTGTGTGCAAACATGAGTAATTGCTGTGGTGTGTGTGTATTTGATGCATGCGTTGCAGTAAGGCTCACTTGTGAATTTATAATATTAATTATCTACTTATGAGACATAATACATATAAGAATTAGGTTCATTTGCAATACTTCATTTGAAAAATTTTATATTAATTAGTAAGGAAGCATTAAGTTTGAATGAAGCCAAATATTAATTAATTTCATACAATTACACAATTTCCTGCTTTGAGTTATCTTTTTCCTAACGTTTTGAAGGCTTATGGTTACTACCCAAATGCTTTAAATTTCGGAATTAATAGGGATATTACTCGACAGCAGTTTTCTGGCGATGCCTTTAAATACAAACACCACAGTCCTTGCCGGAGATTGTGAAGTAGCAATTCCATTCCTACAATTTAATTAATTTTTGAAAATTCAAGATCGGGAAGATATTACACCCAGATATGTATGAAAGTTTAATTATGCTGCCTGCTGTGAAATAGGTACTTCATGCAAGAAACTAATCTTTAGGAATCATTCAAGAAAAAGTCTTCTACAACACCTGCAGGTATAATTTTTTTAACTTAAAGTAAAATTTACAAACTTATGAATCTTTAGTTCACGAATAAAAAGTCATTATGAAGTAGCAAACAACTGATCAACAACTGAAAACTGAACCCAAACTGTGGATCTAATTGAAATCAATATAATAAAGGTACTTCCAATATTTAGTCGAGATAATCGTCCAGTAAAGTCGGTAATTCGAGCAACCATTAATCGGTTTCTTGTCTTGTTTACTCTACCGAGTAATGCGCATGCTCAGGGACGCCGTATAGTGCGCACCGAAGAATCTATTGCTGCAGTGGAGCAGACTATGAAAGAATGAGTCCATCCGCCATCCCACGCAACCTTTGGAGCTGTGCCCATCCACTTTAGAGATAATCTTGAAGAAGGATCTGGGTTTGCGGGCTTACAAAATCCTATTCGTGTAAGAATTGAAGCTGAACGACCTTCAAACGCGTCGCATGTTCGGTGAATGGGCCCAAATCGAGATGGCCAATGATTCCGATGAAGGTCACATTTGGTTGAATTAAACAAAATTGTCACATTTTGAGTGATGATAATACACAAGCCATTGTTGAAACACCGTTACATTCTCAAAAAGTCACTGTTTGCTATGCTCTATGGGCAGGGCGAATAATCGGTTCATATTTCTTCAAAAATAAACCGGCAATAATGTTACAGTCAATTGGGAACGCTATAGAGCCATGAATTAGAGGATGTTGATGCTTGACTACACAGATAAGACGGAGACGATTGACGCATTGGTAGAGAATACTCGGCGTGACATACGGACCCAATTGTTGCGGCTGACAGCCGCGGCGGTTACTTGCCCGAAATAATTTATAATATATACATAATTGTTGGCTATAACACTAATTTATATGCGTTTTATTTCTGCTTGAAAACAACATCTCTAAAAAAGCACACTTTCTCCTTTATATTTGGGAGAATTTCTTTTGGGTTTTAGTTTTAAATGAAATAAGAAACAAGAGCCATGGCACAAGACATCATTACATCGGGTAATCGTTGAGTAATCTAATCAGTAAATTTGACAAGAGATTTAACTGATATATTCAACAACTTTTCCATGGAAAAATAAAAGCAGAGGTTTGGAATTGTCTACTGAAGACTGTTCCTTAGTTCGAATCTCTACTGTAGCTGAAGCAGGTGTTGGCAGTAAGCAAATTACTTCCGCACACACGCACTCACCATGAACTGACCGACTGACAGACCGCTCAACCGCATTTGCAACAATTCGCTTACCACAAATGCAAATTTCGAGCAACAACAACAAGCACTGACGTAATGTTACATAGGTAGGACAGAGCAAAATTTACAGAAGCCACAATAAAGTTAAACAAGTAAACAATGCCAACAACAATAAAAACAATAGAGGAAGAGACTAAAGGAAGAAGCAAGCAAAAAAAAAATAATAATAATAAAAACAACCAAGTAAATGCGCTAAAATGGCTGCTAGTAGTAATTACTAATGCATAAGTGAACGGCAGTTGTAGTACAATGAACAAAGCAAACAACAAGAACAAACAGCGTAATAGCTTCAGCCAACACCAACAGTTGGCCAAGGGAAGTAAAGGGAAACGACACCAAAAAAAAAAAGAGCAAATAACCAGTGGCGGCAAATGCAAATAAGAGGCAAATGAATTGAAGCGTTGAAAGTGGCTGGGTAAAGGCGTAGGTGCGGAGAGCGGATGGGCAGCGAAGTTCAAAAGGTTGCCAGCAACTGCAGTTACAGCTGCAACACCAAATGGCAGCAGCAATTGTTTCTGTAATTGTGGATGAAGTGCAGTTAAGTGTGAATTGTGCATAACGGTACGGCTAGTTAACAACTGTGGCTTTGGATGAGGGGCAGTGAAGGGCCAGGGATAGAGAGAGTTGGAAATAAAAGTTAAGATACGAGTTGAGAGAAGCATTTGCATTTGAATGGGGGAAACAAATGACGCATAAGTAGCGCAACAAAGGTTCTGACACATGTACACATACATATAAATATACTTATATACAAACCCTTC